ATAACAGCAGTAAACGTTGGATAGGATGTATTTTTGATCTCGTGTGTTATTTTCCTTTAGGCATCATGTTTTATTCCCTCCCGAGTTTGTAGTGGTTCTGATGATTTACTTGCACATAATCTTGGCTTTTTTTTATTTAATTCCTTTTCCTTTCTGTGAATTAGTAGCTATAATGAAATTATATCTGAAATTTAATAGTTAACCAAATCTATCAGCTGTTTCATGATTCATAGGTGCTCCAAGATGCTGACTTTCCATGTAGCTTTAGCTGACATTGTATGTAAGGCAATTGTAATGCAATAGAGTTACCTGTCAGCATATATTTGTAGGTGTGGAAAATGCCACTCAGAGAACAGAGATCTCGTATTCCCTGAAGCTTTTCCCAACTATTTTATTTTTAAGTAAAAACATCTTGTTAAAACTCAACACCCTATTAAAATAATGCTATCCACCACGAAGTCAGAGTATTCAGTTACCAATTATAAATTGTTTGCAACTGTACAGGTGTAATCCCACCCAGAGCTACCAGTGAAAGGCATCACACTGGAGGCAAGGTAGCTGAGCTACATAGATATGGATAAGTGCAATGCTTTACAAAGTGATGTGTTGCAATATTATTAATTTAAACCCTTAGATTTCATTGTTGTGATCTGGGCTACATGATGCAATGCAAGATGACAGCCATTGAATTAATAGAAAATGGGATTCATCTCTTGAAATTTCACACAAAATAGAAGCAGGAGACAGACAAAATAAAGGGAGATGGATAGACAGACTGATAATACCACTAATACTTTGAAATTTTAACAGAATGGGTGAGATTATTTTAAAACATTAATGGTATTTATCAACAGTGTGATAGCAGGGGGAAAAAAAAAATCATGCTCCTTCCCTCCCTCCCTCTCTCTCTTCTTCTTTCTCCCTTTCGTTGATTGCTTTGTTGAGCAAGTCAGTGAATATTTTACACTTTGTTTCTTTTATTTTAGCAAATGAACTGCCTCGAGCTAATGTAGTGTAAGTGGAAATTTCAAGCACCAATGTCTACTGCATGATCCAATAATAGGAACTTTCTTTCCCTCCTTGCTGCTACACTGTGTTACAGAGCTAACTCCCCAATGCCTCCAGGTAGTCACATGCCTGATTTATGATTATAAACTATAGCTCTGGAAGAGGTTAGCTAGGTACTTTAAATCATTGCTTTTCCTCTAATGAACTGGGGTCAGAGGGAAAGTACAGTATGCAACAGCTTTATCTGGTCGTTACTTATGTCCTACATGCTTACTTCTCCATGTTTTTTGGTTGTGATAGTGTTTTTATGTAATTTTAATTGCTAAAGTTATTTTAGTAAATCATGTTACTGAAAATTTAGTGAAATAAGGTTTTGTGCTGTTATTTATCATTCATCTTGGTGCAAATTGGAGCCAGGCATCTATTTCAAATGTGGCATGGACAGCATCAAAACAGATAAAGAGAAGATAAAGATAGATAACACCTACCTAGTACAAGGGGTGGTGTCTTTTCCCATTAACATTATGCTGTAATGTTGAACTCTGTTCTTGTCTGATATCTGTATCAAACCATTGTACCAGTATCTCAATAGAATAAGACATGTTAAAGATGCCTGAGATATGCAAATATAGTAATATTCAATATATTGTCCACAGTGTGGAGATTGATTTCAGACTAATGTTATTAACCCGTCTGAGAACTCATGGAAGTGTGGGATTATTGTGTAATCTCAAGGTACCCCCTATGCAGATTAGTTTTGAACATATAGGACTTACTCAGCAGGTCACCCTAAGTCTTACTGACCTTGACAACAGTGCTAGGTCATATTTTTATATAAATAAACCTTTTTCAGGCAATTTTTTTTCCAGTGGATTCAGTACAGAAAGACTTGTTCTGGTACAATGCCTGTTAAACAATTTGTACTTCAAAGTCCTTTATTTATAATCATCTAAAAGACATTACTAGTTGACTTTCTGTGCCACTCACTAGCTTAATGGAGTATAAGACACTTAATGCATGCTCACACAACTCTTGTCATTCAAGTGCATCAAAGCAACTGATCATGTCACCTTCTTCATAAAGCAACCCATGGTTTGGAATTAGAGAGATAAAATTCTTCCTGTCAGCAGCTCTTCATATCAGCAACTCAAAACCATGATTTGGTACTAAAAGCATCTCTCCAGTAGCCTTGCACCTCTGCAAAAATATTAAACTTTGTCTATCTGTACCTATAAGGATTTCTAAGCAGAACATGAAAGGTTATTTTAATAATCTAGTAGTATTTGCATGTGACTTTCTTCTGTCAGCTAGAGCTTCAGGCAACAGAAGTGTGTGGGTCTGGTTCTTGCCTGTTCTTTCACATCAGAGGTCCGACTTTGATAGGAGCTATACACAATCCACTATAATACCTGAACTATTGTATAGACTTGTTACTTAGCTAGTTATTCCCTCATCATGTACTGTTGAACGTTGCTGCCAACATAAAGTTTGTCCCTTTTGAGCAGCATCCTGTTTTTTCAGACCATGTCTGAGTTGTCATGATCATTTTAGATTCTGATCTTGTCTTCCAGCGTACTCACAATTTGATGCTGTCTGCAGATGTAATAAGCATAATCTATTCTGTCAATGAGGTCACTAATGAAAATATTGAATAGTACCAACCCCAGTCCCCTGTGGAGCCTCACTTCGTACAGCCTCCCATTCTAGCCATGAACCTTTGCTAAATACTCTAAGTAACAGTTTTGAAACTGATTTTCTATTCACCCTAGTATTGTTTTATCTGAACAATGTTTCCTTAGCTTTACAAGATCTTTTACAGCAATCAGAAAGTTAATGACACCTATTGCTTTCTGTCCACAAAATCTCCATCCTTGTAGAAGAAAATTAAATTGGTTCAACGTTCAGTCTTCAAGAACAAAATGTCCAACTCTTCAGCATGTTATCATTACAGAATACAGATAATTTGTTGCAGAGATTTACCAGAAATTTAGAAGGAACTCCTTTATGATATCTTAGTTAGTTGGTTTTCCCATTTCTTAGACTTCTGTTTTGTCATTTCACCCATTCTTCAATATTTTCCAAGACTAACTATTAATACTATTAAGCTTTAGTCTTTTAAAAAACAGGGGATGGGGTAGAAAGGACTGCAAAGCAGGCAAATGAATTGAAAAGATCTTAATTCTCCAGATATTTTCTAACCTTTCTTATCAAGGACAATAACCTTGTGGTGAAACTCTCTTCATACTGCAACCCATCCCCAAAAAGGTAATAAATACGTAGGCCATCCTGAGGACATCTGCCGATGGCTTTCTCTACCTTTTGAGTTGAAGCAAGTTCAAAAGTTAGCACAATCCAACTTCACTTGGACTTCCTTTCACTTAATTAGAGCGATTTCTTCTTATGGCTGATGTTGTTTGTATCTCATTTTGTACCATAGGTTTTCTTACTGCATACCTTGGACCTTGCCTGGACAGTTAGAATCTCTTATTAGCTTTGGAGTGTGAGCCTTCCATTCTCCCATAAAAAATTTTGTGCACCTGATCTTTCTGTGTTAGCAATTCAGGGAGGTTCATTCCACCAGTGACAGGTCCATCTGTAACTACCGTCTTTAGAACAACCCAGAGCACTTGCTCCTGGAGGCTGAGCATCCTTATTCACTGTCTGCTATTTCTTTCATTCCCCCCCACCAGTTTCTGATATAAATGTTGGAGACAGGTACTAGGGTTGCTTGGACCTGAATTTGATTCAGTAGTATTTGTGCCAATCTGCTGGAAAAGGGCAAATTCTCAAGAGGTGCTCTTTCTCCCACCTTAACTCTTGTCAGGTGGTGGGCTGACACATTGCACTCCTTCAGAATTACTGCTCTTCCATCAAAGGTTCAATCTGGGCCCTCTGTGTAGCAGGGTGAAATATTTCTCTACTGTAAATCACATAGTACAGAGAGAATCCTCAAGTTGTTTTCATGCACAATCATACAGGAACCTAATTTTCTGTGATGGCTGCTTCAGTTATTGCATCACAAAAATTTCCCACTATGGAGCAGTAGGTTTCATTCATTTCATCTCCACATATAAATAAGGATTGTGACTGGAATAGGTCATGAGAGTTACTCCTGAGAAAACCACATATCACATTATCCGTGAAGAAAATGTGTTTTAAATTGCATTCTTCTAAATACATCTTGGTTGCTGCATAGTTCATTTCTGAGCATGCTAGATGGCATTCTTAACACCACCGATGCAGCACAGAAAATGATGGTTCAAAATGCTTATAGAATCCTAGAATAATTTAGGTTGGAAGGGATTTCTGGAGGTCATCTAGTTAACTTGGGGAAGGTATGAGTTGATGCTTTAGAACTGTAACATACTCCCAAGATTAGATTAATAGGAGCGTTAAAGTTTGCTGAAGTGACAGAACTCTTTTGGTATGCCATCAAAATCAATAAGTTATGTAGTTTACAGTAAGAAACTTATGAACATTTCAGTTCACTTTGCTCTATATGCACTTGTGAGGAAAAAAAGGTCCATTTAGATAGACATTCCAAACGGTAACTCCCAAACCTCAAATTATTCATTATTTTTCACCATCTTTGAAATATGCTTGCTTGCATGGACTAAAAAATAATCATAGAAGTTTTTCAATATACTCTTGATATCAGCTGACTGTCTGTCATCACAATGGAAGGAAGATGGTGGAAGATTGTGTGTGTGGACAAAGCAAAAGAATAGACAATTAAGTGTACTTTCTGTCTCCGATTTGTCCGGTGTGTTTAGAGTGTTTACCTTTGAGATTTTACCTCTGAAGCTGCCCAGTTATCTCGTATAACGTGTATTGGATTCCACCTGATCATGGAAGAGTGTGATCAATGCTTGGAGGGACCTTTTTTCTAGTTTTCTGAGACTATGCTCCCCAAGGCTGTTCTATGTGAGAAGGACTGGCAGAAGCATTAACTTGAATTAAGCTCTGAACAGCATGATGCCTTGTTCCCACAGGTTCTCTAGGCAAGCCAAGCAGAGAAGAGCCAACACTTTGAAGAACTTGGAAAAGGGGAGGATTACTTCTGCATGCATCCACAGTGCCAAAGAAGCTTCTTCTGGGTGTATATGTAGGTGCTGACTTCCACACCTGGGTCTCAGGTAGGGTGTCTTGTGATTAAATATTTGGGGCAACAAGTAAAAATTGTTAGGAAAAATTTAAAAGGTGTTCAAGTCTGGCAATCTTCAGCAGCTGTCATGTGTATTAATCTGGTGCTCTTCTTAAGAAGAAATCCTTGTGATAAGTATTTGAAAGCAGTTGAAGGAAACCATCCAGAATTTTAACCACTCTTGAGTACATAAGCTAGAGAATGGAGTTGGGTTTCACTGTCATATTTTGCAGCTGATTTTACACCATTAAGTTTAAGTAAATTTAAAAATTGAAGCTGTAATCTGTACTTTAATATTGATATAGTCCCTGGCATTTTGACCTTGCCAATCAGCCAGAGTATTTCAACAGCTATCAGCAGGATAATTCTCACATGGTTGCTGCAGAATTAAGCATGTTAAAGGACTATTCACTCATTTCTGGAATGTCAGGAGTTGGACATCTCAGTAAAGTATGTTGTCTTCAAGTAGAATGACTCATCTGGTGCAGTCAATGCTTCTAGATTTTTATTGACAATACATTTTAATAAATAATAATTAAAAAACACAAAACAAATTGTTCTGCAGCATAGTATTACCAAGCTAAGGGTGCTAAAGGAACTTAGAAATTCATATACAAATACTCAAACAACAGGCTTAGGCCCATGATAGTGTTTGTACTAGCAGTCAAAATAATCGCCAGGTGATTAAGGTCTTCCGTAACAACAAAATTCACTGTGGATCTCCTGGGCTATGAAGGGGATCCATTCTGCCTGTGTTTTGAATAATAAGGGGGCTGGTGATGCAATATGTATTCTGGAACACTTTGTCCATGTTATCAGAATGCTCACAATGCCAGAGTTACGGGGAATATATCATCATCCATAGACTGGAGTTTATACAGAATATTGCTGTGCCATAGGATCCCTTTATCTACATTCTAGATGGCCTGACAATGACTCCCCAAATGCCTGAAGCCAATTTAAAAAGGATACTAAGAGCACTCTAATAGCTGAAGTTATTACTACTAAAGGGTAAATCAATGCTGTGTGTGTTCCAAGAAGGAAGAGCAGGTCCAAATGAGCTTTGTCTTAATGGAAAGAGTATTTTAGCCAAATTCTTTGTATGTGGAGGCAGATTCTACATGTGTGGCACCGTATTCTGCAGTTGGAGCTATTGGCCTCCCTTTTTCTGTAGTGAAAGGTGAATTTGCTTATCTTGGGACAAGCCTGCACTGATGCTATTCTTTCCTGGTGAATACTTAAACCTCTAGTTTTGCTAGATAAGGATTGAATGTGAACCAAAGCTGGGCTGTGTATGCAAAGCAAATATGTGAGGAGCAAGAGGAGGGGCAGAAGAATGTAATGCTGCATCCTCATCTTGCCCTTCTGGGTGATGCACCAGGCTGGTGCAGCCCAGAGGAACTCAGTCCCTACCAGTCTTCTCCTTTCTCTCTCTTGCTAGCCTTACCTCCTAGTCTTTGGGCTCTGATGCAGTACTATGCCATTTCTACTAGCAAATATTTATTCCTAATTTTAGCAGTGATGAATAGATCTGTCAGGCACTTCTTGTGGATTGTATGCTAACGTGCACCAAAAATATGAGTTGAGGTCGTGGGCTGTGCCTAGTTCTAGGGCGTAGGTTTTCTCACCCTTGATTTATATACAGCAATCTTCTGACAGTGGCTTTAGTCAAAGGGGATGTAAATCTTCTAATTTCTGCTCATCTTGAACAGATTGTGCACTCTGAATACCATGGATTTTTAGAGATTACTAGTGGGGGCCCAGTTGAGGATATGATCCTCTGTCTTTACCTGCCTCCAGTTATCCAGAGATAATCAGATATTAGAGAAGGTTGGAAATTTGTCTCCTATTAATAATTAAAAAAAAAAGTGATAAAAGACTCTGATCTTGCCAGTGTCATAAGTAATGTCACTTAGTAAAGTGACTGGCACTAGCTGTAGGCTCAGATATGCCAATTATAATTAAAGCCATTATTTTCAAATATAGTTCAGTTTATTCCTGGAGAAAAGTAAAGAGAATTTTAGAGTGACAAATCTCACTGGAAAATGCAAACTTGACAAAAAGGCTGTGTTTTTTGACTACCTGTAATAATCTGATATCAGGCTTGAAATGAATACTATGTTAAAACATGTATTTAAAATGAGTGTTGACCAACCTAACATACTGTACAACATTAGAATATGTATGCGCCTGTCAGAATCATCTTGACAAAGCAAAAGACAACTTACAAGGCAGAAATGACACTTAGTTCCTAGAGAAACAGCTGTCAAACATCTGTAGTGTGGCTTTCAGAAAGGTACCGAACCATTAGCCATTGCAAATTTGATGCTCATTCACAGTTTTCTGGAAAGGTAACCAAACTGTCATCTAATTTCATGATCTAAGACCAAAGATAGTGCTCTGAAAAAAAACAACCAGGCAGTGAAGATGTATTCGGGTTTTTTTTAGGCAATTTTTGGGGGTTGATTATTTACTTACAGCAAAGTACAGATAACGGTTGTCTTCTGTAAAGCTGTATAACACCCTGAGACACCAGTCAGCCTTGGTGGGTTTCTTTCTTAAAATGAATGGGATTCTTGGAGATGACTGGGAGAATATAAAATGCAGACACAGAGTAGCTCCCGTGAGCAGCAGCTCATTCCTATGAAGGCAGCTTTAATCTTGGGACAAAAGTGACAAGAAACGGAAGGTATGCACTACATCAGGAAATCTCCCAAATGCTCCGAACCCTCTACCCCAGGGTATGTCCCAGCAGAACACGCTGTTTGGGGCTGTAGTTGTTCTGAAGATGCAGCCTCTGTCATTGGCAACCTAGAACTGAAGGTTAACTGGCAGGTGATGAAACAGAAATTTTGTCACTGACCTTTGCCTGCTGTTGAGTACTCCAGCCCTGCTCAAATCCAGTGGTAGTTAGTGTTTCTCTTATTCTGGCCGCCTTTTAGCTCCATTTGCACAAGGTGATGGCACATTTGTGCTCTCAGGCATTTGTTCAAATGCCTGCCCTACTGCTGGCTACCAGAGATTACCCTGAAAACCGACTACGGTGCAGCGATCTGAGGTCTGATGTTAAGACAAAGTATAGATTCAATTCCTGCTTGCACTGCAGGTGACTGGGATCTAGGCAAGAAAAGTTGCTGTAGCTGAATTTTTTTCATTCTTGTCTACTGCATTGGGCAGCTATTTTGTCATTACTGGCAGTCTTAAAATCTTGGCTTTGTTTTCTGCCCTGTAATCTGGTGTTGATGTCCTTTATGTTCCCAAACCCTCTGCTTAAAAGTGTTTCCATTTGATATGATTAATAGCTCTTGCGAGTGATCTCTATTAAGGACTCAAAGCTCAATTTCAAATATTTTTGTGGCACTTCTGGTGGGCCTTGCTGGGATAAATTAAGCCTATTTTTCTCCTGATTGCTTCGTTGGATCTCTTTGTAACTTCACCTTGTATTCCTTTCTGTTCAATACTTTTCAAAGTACTGAGAGTTTAAAGAGGTACAATAAATCCCAGATCAGTTTTTAATGACCATGGTAAGCCTGCTTGTAATATGTCAGTAAGCTGAGCCTAAAAGCCAACGGGGAATAGGCCATTTCTGCCTTAGTAATTGCCTCCACAGAAAGATTTATAATGTCATTATCTGAATCTACAAGAAATAACTCATAGAGCTGAAATACCCTAAAAAAATATTACAATTCTCTTAAAATCTAGTCATTCATAAATGCTAAATCATAAAACTTTTTCCAAGATGTTTTATGTTAAAAATAAAACACAGTCAAAATATAAATGTACTTTTCTTAATCAGATTCTTTGTTCTTTATGTATCTGTTTTCCGTGCTGTAACTTGGGCAGAGGAATGGTGCAGTGCACAGCCCAGATCTAGCACTGCGCTGCTGAAAACACAAATGAGTGCTGAAAAACCACAAAGAGGAAGAGCATTCCCAGTCATTTTTCTTTATTTGCGTGTGATTCCAGGGGGGAAAAGGGTTAGTTAGCACTGCAATAAAATTAATTTTAGCAATAAAAATCACTCCCCTCCTTTCTCTTTCCACTATTTTTCCATGAAAAGCCACACTAAATATCCTGATAAATGTACTGCGGTACTGGTTTAAGCCATTTCAGCCGGCTTCCTTTGCCCTTAGCATTCCCCAATCAGAAGATATCATTCATTTCTTTCAAAAAGCAGGAAATGTACTCTTCAGTTTGCCTGGTGTTTAATAAAGTGCTAGAATTACCATAGCTACCCTCATCTTCTGATGCTTTAATACACTGTGAGATTTATACTAATTTCAACCAGACTATATTCTTCAGTATAGAAAGCTTGTACACTTAAAGGGCACTGTCAGTGTGCTTTTTAATCATGAGCTTCTATAAGCGAGGACTCGATTTCTATTTCCCTGAAGATTTTTAATTGTTTTACTTTTTCTTTTCTCATTTGTTGTTTGTCCTGTGTCTGTCTGAGCTTTATTGTTGCTTCTGGGTGGTTTTGCCATGGCTTTTTTATTATTACTTTTTATTCATTGTTTAAATAAATATTATTCACTGACATCTCTGGAGATGTGTTGTAATGCAGTTGCTTTAACTCAGTCAAGTGAGTCCTAAAATCAGTGAAAGGTTTTTAGTTTGATGTAGTCTGATTTTAATCTGAAGTTCAAATTAAACTTTTCCAGGGTCCAATATCTGCTCTTAGACAGCAAATTATAGAGGCTAACACCCTTTTAAAGTGTGGCAGTTCTGTTTATTAACTTGAATAGGTCCAGGATTTCATACACTTCAGAGCACAGACATGTCTATATGTAATAAATTATTATTCATTTCTTGTGAGCATCATGAACTTTTGGGTTCTTTGCTTCAAAGAAATGAGCTCCCTGAAACAGAAATTATTTACCAGTCAGGGCACTCTGGTCATCATTATATCAAATTGAACCTAAGAGGTTTGTGAGAACAATGCTGACAGAGGTGTTTCCTGATTTTAAAAATGATTTATAAGCAAACAAATGT